TTGGTTTTGGGGCGGCTCTCGAGTCGTGAACATGGCGGCCGGATGCGAACCCCCGCGGAGCTCGGCGCGGCGCAAATGAGGGGCCGCCGAGCTGTGGTGCGGCTTCAACTCCCCAAGTTATTCCACGGCTCTGGGCGCCTCGCGGGAGGCTGTGGATCGTGGCGGTGGAACTGAGAATTGTTAGAAAAATAAAAAGCCAAAAGGGAAGAAGTTCTTCCTGGGCCTTCTCGTGGATGTCGGCTTGGGCTTTTGGGGGTTGGGGTTCCCACAGGCCTGGGACAGGGAAACGGCCAGAGGCCGCTTCACCCTCCGGCCCAGCTGCAACATTCCCCCCTGGCCTCACTGTTGAGGGGTGCCCTTTCCCGTTGTGGGGGCCCCTGTCGGGATTCCTCAGCGCCTCAAGTCCCTAAAAACGCGCAGGGGTGAACACTTGCCCCTTCTCGCCACAATGGGGGAGTCCGTGAGGAGGGGGTCCCTGAGGCACCGTTTCCAAGTGTATTGGCCTGGCTTGTCAACCTGCGTCCTTCGCAGCTCGAACCCTACGTGTTGCCCAGACCCCGTTCTCTGCATATCTCATTTAAATCGGTGCTGTCGGGGTTTTTGTAGTGTCCCAACAGCTGGTGATCTTAAATTAAAGGGGAAAAGGCCACAATCGCTAAAACTTTGGTCCAGCTTTTGCTCAGCCTCCTTAATGCTAACTTGTGAAATAACCCGTGATTGCTCTGGGAACTCCTCTTCAAGTTTTCTCTGCAGGGGGAAAAATGCTTCGGGTTTACCATCAGCTCTGTCTGTCGAGAGGGGGAAAATGTGAGATTTTTAAAAGGTGGTTATTCACACACACACACACACACACACACACACACACACACACACAGTCTCTCTAAGCAAATAAGCAGAACGAATTCTTTTCACGTTGCGTCTTCCTGGAGACCAACAGCCAAATGGAAAGGCTACCTTCTTGGAATTGTCCAGTGTCAAGCTTTCTGGCTCCCTAAGGTGTGGGGCAGTTCCCGAGGGCCACCTAGGGAAGGGCCCCAGGTGGGTGGGCAAGTCATTAGCAAGACTGGCCCTGATCTGGGGGAAATCTGCAAAACAGTGCCTTTATCTGCGGAGAACAATTGATGGGGTTGTCTTTCCTCCTTTTCAGTGCACAAAGAAGACGGCTTTGGAGCAAGAATTTGGACTATGCATTTAAGTTGTCATGCTTTGCATTGGAAACCCCTGAGCAATTAAAATAAGCATGCCCTATAGTATTTTCTGTTCTTTTCTTATGTATGATTTCTGCAAGTCAAAGGGACTGGAGCTTCTTCGGCAGTTTGGAAACTTGTTTTTGAAATTGCCACCAAACTGATTTTTTTTTTCTTTGCTGTGGGCAAAGTTTTCTCCCCGGGCTCCGGCCACTCCTCCCATTCCCTCAGTGGACTTAGTATATTGACATCTTTGAGAGATCAAAGAAAGTAAATGGCACTTGCTGTATACTATATTTTTCCATGCTGTCGTTTGAACCCTGAGGTTTGAGCTTTTTTCCGGTTAAATTTCTTGATACCAACAACTGTGGAAAATAAAATGTTCATTAAATCGAAAAAGCTTTAGCCATTGCTTAGACAAGAGTTTGTCCTTTACGTTCTACAGAGCCCCGATTGTCTCTTACATTGACTTTAACTTCAAGCTAAGATGCATTGGTGAACTGTTCCCCTGGATACCTGCGGTGTTCTTTGGGTAATTTGATAGGGTAGAACTGGTTGATCTTCACAGGAGCTGAGTGGAATTTCTGCAAAACTGAGCAAGTGATAAACTGGTGGAGCTCTTATATTTGACGACTCTCACTGAGATTTGGGTTCTGTCCTAACTATTGAATTGTTCAGTTTGAAAAACACTTAAGTTTACTGGGAAGCATGTAAAGAGGGGAGTGTTCAGACCACTTGGACTAAATGGTAACTTTTAACATAGCAGTATAAATTCTTTGAAAATGAGAGGAAGTCCTGTTTCAAAAAATCTAGTATAACCAAAGAACACAACACCTTTCTTTCAAAAGCATCTAACAGACCAAGCAATTTTGTGTATTTATAATCAGATAAGTGTTTAACTTGTTTGCTAATCTGATGAGTAGAGAGAAATGTAAGCTTTATAGCAAGTATAAAAATAGCTTTCACCAGATGGCAGGTACATAATGTTTACCTTTAAGAGGATGTATGTATTGTCTAATGTGCTTTATGAAAATACAACCTATGTAAAGACCATTTGAACATAAGGTATTTAAAATTAAAGATTCCATCTCGTTTTATTCTATCTAGCATTTAAATATCCATGTAACACTTTATGGCATTATTTTCTATGAGAAAATGTGGCCTGTTTTGACCTATCTGCAGTTCACTTTTTGTTTTTTTGCCAGTGTTGTCCTGCTTGGTATCCGGGACAGTCTCTAATTCCTGACGAAGAACTTGATACTGACGTTGGTATGCAGCAGCCAGTCCTCCATAACACTACCTATCCTAAATGCAGGGTTAATGCTGAACCTACTGTGCAAGAAATGATTTACTGATGAGGTTTCAAAGAAAACCACATCAATTTGGATGTCTGTTACCTTGAAGTGATCATTTTAAGAGTAGTTGCTTCTTCCCTAGGTATAAAAGACTATTTTCTTCTTTTGGTGTATTTCATTCTGTGTTGAGCAATCATTTGTGAAATGAAAAAGCAAAAAAAAAAAAAAAAAAAAAACACCTCCCCCCTTCCAATTTAGGATTTATAAATGGGAAGATGGAGGTGAAGACTGGCCTAATTTGTAGCCCAGTACGCATTATCTCACGCACTGTTGCAATTTTTTCTCAAATATCTGCTTTCCACATGTGCAACTAAAGTGTTTAAAACTGGAAACATGAACACTTGTTTTGTTAATTCCATGTTTATGTTCAAAAAGGAATACTCAGAATCCCTATACTTGTTTGACTTAAATAAAAACCATTTAAATTATTCTTGTGACTATCGTTTTCTTACAATGACAACTATAACCCCTAAATAACCTCGATTAACCTGTCGGATTGGGACAATTTATATTCTGTTCATATTGCATATGTATAGAAATGCTGGCATTTCAAGTCAGGTGCAGGTGGTACACACCTATAATTCTAGCACAGTAATCTGAAGCAGAAGGATCTTGGCTTCGAGGCCACTCTGGGCTATATAGCCTGGGCTGCATAGTAAGACCCTGTCTCAAAAACAACAACCAACAACAGCATAAGGCTGGGTTTTCACTTAGCCATCAGCTGTGGGTGAGGGGGTTAGTGAGCAAACCCCAATCCAGTGTTTTTCACCGCTTTTCCCCCAGCCTAGGGGCCCAAGGCCAGGTGCTGGGGAGATCAGGGAAGAATTCAGAGGCAAGGGTTGATTAGTGATAAGAAGGAAGGAATGAAGGCAGGAGTTTGGAGGGAAAGAAAGAGCATTTGAACAGTACTGTCTGGGGGGGGGAAGACCAAGCTGAGAACAACCGCAAAAGATGAAAAGAGAGCCTCTCTGACGTTCAGAGGGGACATTACAACATTATATGTGTATTATTCAGAAGCAGACAACTTCGCACCCATTGATTAGAACACTTCCAGAATCATGGAATATAGGTGTTATTAAAACAACAGTTGTCATTAATTAACTGTAGTGTTAGAGAAGATGAAGACACTTCAGAGAAATTCTTCGAACTCCAGATACTTGATTTCTCATTTTAAATTTAACATCTATAATCTAATGTAGTCTGTGAATCTGTGAATCATTCTATTTATTTGGCATGATTATGCCATGATGAAGTATTGTAAAATTGCAGCCTGATAGAATATATAGCCATTGGATCTTTAGATCGAATTTTATTAAAATTTCTGCTAAGTAGACTGATGATTTCGTAATTTTTAAGTAGCGAGGGAAATGCTTATCTTGGAAAAAATCACTCATCTTTCTCTGATTCCTGTTGTTCATTTACATCAAAAGTAGAAGAGCCAGTCAAGGAAGTCTGATTCTTTGATTCTCAGCAAGCTAAGACTTGCTAAGACTCCTTTCTTTTATCCTCCATAAGAATGTTGGTAGAGTTTTTTTTCTTTATAACAACAATCAAGCTACCCATGGTGGTATACTCCCGTAATCCCAGCACCAGGGAGGCTGAAGCAGGAACTAGTGAGTATAAGGCCAACCTGGGGTACTTAGTAAATTCCAGACCAGCCTGGGCTACATAGACAGTGTCTGAAAAGAAAAACAAAAATCTAACTCCAAACAAAAAGAAGGACTGTGTCCTTGCAAAGAAACAGTAGAGATTTAAAATGGTATTATTGAAAATTCCCATGGAAGGTAAGCTACAAAATTGTGTATGAGTCAGCTACAATGTGATAATAATACTTCCTAGGGTTGTTCTAAGGACTAAACTAGAAAATGTCCATGAAAAGCCTTCTCACAGAGTAGTTCCTAAACAAATATTAACTTCCTTATTTTCTCTGTGAAGGTAGCTACTGTTCTGCTACTTTTGAGTAGTTTGCTATTTTTAATATTATAAGATATATTATTAAAAACGTGGTTTGTTCTGGGGTACGAATCAATACACTTGTCAGAAAATAGATGGGAGAGTTGGGGCATCTAAGAAATACTGCATTTCATAAGCATAATCACTAGATCAGGCTTGTGGGTTTATGAACATACCTATGAATATTTAAACACATAAATTTAAAATGTTATTAAATGCCCATTGTTCATTATCTTGCAATGAATACACTTATTCTTATAAAAAGTAAGTTGTGTACTTGAAGTCTGTAAACATAATTTAATGGCTTGCTTTTAAATGGATAAAACTTTTACTTTAGTCAACAACTTGATTCTTATATACGACAAATTTACAATCTGAAAGTTGATATTCACAAGTAACAAAAATACTAAATGTTGTCTTAAATTATTCAGTACTCCTACTAAATTTATGTTAGAATTATGCGAGTATGACTATAGAGTAATGAGGCTGATTTTCTTGTGGGGCTTGGACGCTATGCCTGAGAAACTCCGGAGGAGGTGTCCCAAAATGTTTTGACTCATGTCACCATCCTTAATGTAACTTTATTTACTCCTTAGGTGTTGGTTTCTTTAAGATAATAAAAACAAAACAAACAGCTACCAGTCTTATTACTTCACAGCCATACTTTATTTGTTTGTTTGTTTCTTTGTTTGTTTATTTTTGGTTTGGTTTTGTTCTTTTGCACCTGGGATTAAACTCCTTGTGCTTGCGGCAAAACCACTGAGCTAAATCCCCAGCCCCTCACAGCCATACTTTGAGTGTTATTCATTTAGGGGGCTGAGGTAGGATCTAAGTTCGAGGCCAAGGCTACGCTACATAGTGATTTCAAGGTCAGCTGAACTACATAAGGAAACCTTGTGTCTGGGAAATGTTCTGGTTAGGGATGTAGCTCAGCTGCACAGCGCCTGCCTGGCAAAACCAAGGCCCTGAGTCTGATTCCCAGTACCAAAGGGGGAAAAAAAAAGAAATGGGAAATGTTCTATTATAACATTACAATTTCTTTTCAGTTGTATGTGTATTTATGCAGTAACACTAAACAAAAGCCCTAAACTTCAGCTTTTCCCAGATGAGCTGAGAAGTGATTTTTTTCCTCCTCACAGATTTTTGGACTTGGAGATCCCAAGAGAGGCTGTACTGCTGAATGGTAATAATAGCATTTCTATGGAGACCCGAGGGACTTTTTATTATTCTTTTCTTCACTGGTTTATCACCTATATCTATCTCTTTCTTCCGGATCCTCTCATAGTTACCATATTCACTAGACTTGGAGTCAGTCAGGTAAAACTTATTTTGAGTCTTGGTTGTTACTGCGTACGAATCAGGTTATATTAAATGTCTAATTTCAAGATGGATGATTCCATGTTGGACTGTGCTGTGGTACCACCCATGGCCGGACTGTCCTGCAGGTGTTATCTTGCCACTTTGGTAGGGGTTGTCAATCAGCACAGTCGTTCCTTAGATCCAGAGGCAAGAGAACACCTCTTTGAGCCTGAGAGGTGTTCCTGTGCCTGTTATCCTATGTTATATTTTTCTTAGGAAAAAGTCCTTTAATTTTTTTTTTAATCAGGTCCTCAGAGAGAGGGGGATTTAGCTCATTGGTTCTGGTGCTTACTTCGCAAGGGCAAGGACCCGAGTTTGATCCCCAGTACAAAAAGAAACAAAATCAGGTCCTCAGAAACGCTAATGGTGAAATGATAAAAATGTTGTTGTCAACAACTCCCTTTGTAAATGCCTCCAAGTCAATAATACTTATTTGTGGCACAAGTAAATACATTTAACATCTTGATATCAATCCAGGGCATGGAAATTGTTTTAAAATGAGTCACTAATATTACCCAGTCAGAATATACACCAAGAAACTTCACTCACATCTTTGCCGCTGATCACCAACCGAATGTGGCATTTGTTGGCTTGCTGGAGGCATGTCTTCGAAGACCTCACCATCCTTTACAAAATGTGTGTAGCCACGCTGAGATATGATGTCTTTTTTGTTTTGTTTATTGAGATAGGGTCTCGCTATGTAGTCCAGGCTGGCCTTGAACTCGCAATCTTCCTGTCTCAGCCCCTCAGTGCTGAGATTACAAGTTTGTGCCACCATGCCCCAGCTAAATGTAGTGTTTTATTGGCTGTAATGCTAACTGAAAACAGATGGTGTTTAGTAACTTCTGACCAATGACATACTAAATGAATACTCAGTGTAGCAGCATCAGTGATTGCAATCGACTCGTCAGTCACCAGTATCTAGCTGCCATCATGTTTCACTTTGCTAACACACTGATATCCTGCATCTAATGCCAACAACTAGGTCCTTCAAACAAATGATATGTTTGATAAAGAAATCTTTTTCAAATCATTATGCACTTCAGCATTTGTGTTTTCTTCTAGCCCAGCATCTATGCATGTGTTCCATCAGACGCTTATTCCTTGATCATTCTTGAGCCTTCCCTGACTTTTGAGCTTGATTTGCTGTTATCTCGTCAATGGGAAATAAAACGTCTTCCACTGAATGCTGTGTCCTTAGTATTTCAGAGAGGCAGCAGCCTTGAAAGACTCTGTCTGAAAAGGCCATGTTATAGGAGAAATTCAGTGGGGGTCAGGAACAAATTCCTAATTTAGAAAAAAAATATTACGAACATTTTTTTGTTGTTGTTAGCTTTGCTGTATGGATTTTTGAAACTTCACAGGAAACTCACAGTGTTGTAAAGCTTCAGAGCTTTAAGGCATCTCTCCGAGCTGGTAAAATGAAAAAAAAAAAATCACATGGTCTAACCGGTTAAAATGGATGCACTTCATTCTTAGTAAGCCCTGTTTAACTGCATAATTTGCTTATATGCATAAATCAGAGTAAGTGTTAATGTTTGGTTCACAAGTGACTGGATGGCATGCATCTGGCTCTGTTAGATCCCCTGTAATTACGTATTGGCTAATTGCATAATATAGCCATTTTAACACTGAATTTAAGCCCTGATGCTGCTAGTAACAGTATAATCACTTTGAATAAGTAAATAGTTGGAGTATACTATAATACCTGAAAATCAAAATGTAGAATACTAGCTATGTATATATTTTAAGAGAAAAAAATGTTAGAAATCCTTTGAATTAAAAAACAAGCCAATATGGTTTTCTGTTGGGAAAATATTACATTGTAATTGACAAATGCAAAATCTTAATAGGCAATAAATATTTCGTGGAAATTTTCAGCTTGCTTTTAAATGGTATAAATTGAGCATTCACACACACAATATAAATATGTTGATTAAAATTAAAT